TTATAAATCAATTATCCAATGAAAATTAACTATGAAAAGTCATGTGATATGCTAAAATTCATATCACAACAATATAATTCTCACCTAATGGTTTAAACTCACTATCTGAAAGTATTTCATATAAATTTTTTGTTTTTTATTCATAATAAAAATTTGCAAAGAAAGAAATCAAAATTATTAATTGATTAATAATCAAATTACTAAAATAATTTGGAGCAATCCGGGGTTATAATAAAATATTTTGCTCCGGGTTAGTACAAAAATTAGAAATCTTAACCCATTCCATGATGGAGTGATACATAACCCGGGTTGATGCCAGAACATTATGCTCACCCTAGAATTGGATCAACGAAATACTAGTGTGTAACATTATCTAACCCCTAGATTTGATTGTTACGTGCTATTGTATTGGGGTATGACAAAAAAGTAAAAAAAAATTCCTCAAATAATGTCGAGAAAAATTGAAGAGAAACCAGGTTTTCCTACTTCATAACAACACCCTGCGAAGCTTGGGACGCTCTTGAGTATCATGAGGAATGGCGTGTTTATAAATACCCAATGAACAAGGGGAAGCTTACAACGGCACTTTATAAACAACTTGACTGGTTCAAAAATGAGGGCTCAGAAGAAGAAAAGAAATCTGCAGAAAGGATGTTGAATCAATTTAAGGTGAGGCCACGCTTTTGCGAGTTATATGACGGTTGTGGCAGGAAGCATGGGGGACTACGGTTCCTGCCCATGTATGGACTACGGTTCCACCCTGTTGCAAAGCAAACCACTAGACTACGGCTCTTGAGTGGCGATGGACTACGGTTCCGCCGAAATCCTTTCATGAACTTACAGGAGTGTGGCTAAATCCCGATTTGTTTCATATATATATTTTTTAATAAAAACTGGCCAGCTAAAATTGATTTCTTTCAGGAGGGTTTAGGTATTGATGGATGTATTCACGATTTTTGGATTAAAGCGATGGCTGAGAGACAAGCGAGCTTAAAAGAGTTAAAGGTTGATGCAGAAGTTCGTGGATTGAAGGTAATAAAAAGTATTTCTCTTCAGCTTTCATCAATATAATTCAAGTCATTTCATTCTTTCTCTCTATATGTAGGCAGAGCAACGTTTAACAATCGCTACTGTTGCAACAAAACAAGTGGAAGAGTATGCCCTATCTACAACTCTTGATGTTCATACAGAGCAGGTAGGTGAAAACGAAAAGATTTCACAGACAAGAATGATACAGACGTATTGTCACCCACAAAAAAGGTAATAACTCAAGTTCTCTTAATAACCGATTTGATTCTTATATTTAACAAATCACATAATTTATTTGATGCACAGTTTAGAGAATTGAGAAAAGACCTTTATACACTGAACCAACAACCGATGATGAAGAATTTGATGTATGAATAAATTTATACAATGGTCACATAAAGGAAACCTTTATCTAATAATATATATTATTTATTTACAGGAAGAATCCATGTTCTTTGAACCTTCTAATATAACAAAAATCCAAGAGATAGTCGCGGAAACAATCGAAAGAACTATTGATGATGGTTGGGAAGTTAAACTATTGAAGTGGCAACAACATGCCCTTAAACAATTAATTAACGGAGTTCAGTATCCATCAGAGCAAAGTATCTATAACATACTTTGTGCTTCATCAATCTTTTACTTTCAACAAGAAAGGAGGCCAACATACACTGGTTTTCTAACGACAAATGAAATCGCTGATATTCGATCACATGTCTTATCAAAATTCGAAATAATAGAAATTCCAGATAGAGTTAAGGAGTATGTAAAAGAAAACAAGAAGGTTGGTGAATAAGTTTTATAATAAATTGTTTTCATAGTTCTATGCATTTTATTAGGATTATCAACAATGTAGTCTGGAGGAAATTGAGAGGTTTCTTAAACGTTATTTTTTAATATCTATTATTATTATATCTATCTATTATACGCGGACATATCACGATCTGTGTCGTTTTGTTACGATCGTATGTAACGCTCCGAAATCTTATTAACATTGGTTGAATTTCGTTTTATTGCGGTCGTTTATTGTATGTAACGGCTCTGAAATTTTTTCTTACCGTTATTGGTTAAATTTTCGGTGGCTTTTTTATATTTATTATTAATTTTTAACCAAATTTGAAACGTAATTAATGCTAAAAAAATTCTACATACATTTCATCTCGATTAATGCTAATGCTAAAAAAAAAAACTTTTCTAAAATAACGTAACGAAAAAAATCGAAAATAAAATTAGTCGTCAATTCGACCGCACTACCAAAA